GTTTATATTTTGGTTTTGCAGAATTTGCTGCGAATAATCCCTCTTGATAATTAATTAGTATGCACCATCACACTAACGAATTACATTTTAAAACAGTTGTTAATACGTTGGTAAAGGAAAATATAAGGTTCCAGATTATTTTAATTACTTTTTTTTTAAAGAATGTTCGAATCAGATTGAGTACCACTGAATTGTTAAGTAAAATAGTGTATAATAATAACTTTTAAATACTAAAAGTTTTTCCTATACCTTGTCATGAAAACTTAAGTTGAGATATAATAAACGACGGTATCTCCTAGTTCAAGGACTCCTCTAAAAAAAAAGAAAAAGAAATAATAAGGTCAAAAGGCGTAAGAAAGACGATCGATCACCACTGCACTTGGAGCCATATATTCTGGCAGCCCAACTAGCTCCAATTTTTTTACTTTTGTGATGCATTGATTTCATTTTCCAAATAAAGTGGGCGTCTTTCTTTTGTGATTCAGATGTTAAAGTTTAGGCGTTTCTCAATTAATTCCCTACTTAGAAGCCTTCGTTTGGTAATATCTCGAATTTTTGAAGGAGTTTGTTGTAGCGACTCTCGTCTATTTATTACAAAATCATCGGCTATTGTTATTGAACAAGTATTCATTATCACGTATTTTTTTTTACTTATCTATTATGTCGTATATTATTAATTGAGCCTTTCAATAATATTTACGTTTAACACCCCCTTGAATTTTTAAGTTTTAATTATAGATTTCATTATACATTTGACCTTTAAACAATTTCACTTAGAGACTTTAAATTTTTATTACATATTTTCACAGATGAGCCTATTTGGTCCAATTTTACTCTTTTTATAGGTGTTTACTTATTAGTGTGTGTTCAGCCGCCATGTGAACTTTGAATATTTATGGTTTTAAGACTTAAAAATGTGTAAAAAATAATAGAATTTTAACTCGTGGATCTTTGACTTAAGATTAACTTAATACATTTTTGTGAGTAGAAATTTAAGTGTGGCTACAAATTAGGTTAACCAGTAAAGAGCGAAAAGTCCTCACTATACATTTATTTGGTCTCCAAATATTTTAATTCTTGTCTTCTTTTTTACCTTGGAGAGTTATAGGTGGCATTACAGAGTAACTATTAAATTTAATTAGGATTTTGTAGATCCCGCATGCATTGAAGTAATTTCTTTTTTTTTTTGTGAATTTGCGAAATATAGGATGCAATATGATCTCTTAAAAAATTATAATGGTACGTAGGAGTGTCATGTCATCTATATGTCTTTCTCACGTAGGCCAAATTACATATTAGAAATTGTAACATTTTTTTTATCATGATAGACCTTAGATTCTTGAACTTTCCTTAGACTTTTTTTCTTAATAAAATTCATTATAATCAATGTTAAATAATTGACTCTTTCTTACACATAATTATGATCTAATTGGTAGCCTCTCTATGCAACTTTAAAGAAATCAAATTTAGAAAAGTAGTTTCTAAGAAATAGTTATATATAGAGATTGGCTTACATCCCGGGACACTAGGGCTTTCTTCAATCAGGTCCAGACCAGGAGGTACATCTACTTCACTACACAACAAACAGTGATATTATTATTACTTAGAGAGGGGCACTCCTGCTACCGTTCTGACTACACACCCTAAATGTGGACGTTTCGAAAGAGTAACTGTAGTGGACCTCAATGATTATCTGCCTTCCGCAGAGTGCATGTCCTTTCGGAAGAAAGGTGCGAGAAGTAACTTAATGTCGCGACCTGCTTACCTAACACCTGGTGTTTGAAGCTAGCGAAAAAAAAAAAAAAAAAAAGAATAATAAGGTCAATAAAGAAAGATCAGACACACTTGACATAATTAGGAGCACTAGCTCCAATTTTTTCTTTTTATAGATTTATTTTCCAAATAATGTTTTTTTCTTTATTTAGCCTCTTAATCTTAGAGCCTTGTTTGGTAAATCTCTAAGGAGTTTGTTTAGTCCTTTATTTTAAAAAATTCATATATTTTATCAAGTTCATTATCCTATTTTTGTTATCTATTATGTCGTATATTTTAATTAGCTTAATATATTGTTTCACCCTTAATTTTAAGTTTTATTATAATTTCATTATAATTTGACCTTTATACAAATTTCACTTAGAACTTTAAATTTTTATTACAATTTCACTCCAATTTGTCTCTTATACTAATTTCACTGTGAACTTTGATATTTTGTTTTAAGACTTAAATTGTAAATAAAAAATAGATTAACTCTTGATCTTGGACTTAGATTAACTTAATACATTTGTGTAAATGGGAAAATTTAGGTTAACAGTAAGAGCAATCTCTATTATTATTTTTAATATTTTTAAATTCTTTCTTTTATTGATAATAAGTAATATTTAAAAATTAATTATTTGATGCATGAACTCTTTTTTTTTTTTTGAAAAAATAAAATATAAAAAATTATAAAAGCTACTATCAATTTATTTGACTCCAAAACTATTAGAAATTGTAACATTTTTTTATCATATAATTATATTCTTTTTTTTTTAAATTCATATATCAAAAAAATTGATTTTTAAATATTATTTATTATCAATTAAAGAAATAATTTAAAAATATTAAAAATAATAATAGAGATTGTTCATACTATTAACCCAAACTCCTTCACTAACACAAAATGTATATAACTAGCATTCCCTTTGACTAACTAAATTAGTGAAAATAACTGTGATCGAGAGGACTCGAAGTCGAGACTTCCCACTTCTCACTTACGTAAGAAAACCAATCAAATCACCGTCTAATTCGCATTTTTAATATTTCATTGATGGTAATAATAATAATATATTTATGATAGAATCATATAAATGAATATTAAATAATAATATAAAAAACTACAGAGATTATTTTATTTTAAAAGGAGAAATAAGACAATGATTTGGAGCAAGCCATAAAAAAAAAGTTATATTTATATAATTTCATATTCTATTATATTTTAAAAAAAAAATTTAGAAGGATGGAATATGAAAAACTTAATGAGTGAATTTGTAAAAATAAATAAAATGACAAAAATTATAATATAAATACATTAACTTTTATAAGTACGATGAGCTACTATAATTAAATGTGACTCAAAGCTCGAAAAAAAAATTTATGGTTAAATATTATCTAAAAAAAAAAAAAATCACTCGTTAGTAACTTGCAATTTTATTTTGTAATTAACAATGAAGGTTTATATAAATATATACAAAGCATTGACGATGACGAGACACCGTATTAGATTATGAAAGCGATGATGCATTGTTAATGGGATAATGTAACATTTTTTTTTTTTAAACAAATGCCCCTGTAAACTCTAGTCGTGTCTCTCTGGCTTTCTCTTTTTTATATTGAAGAATTTTACGTCGATTTTTTGTTTTTATGACGGTTCGAAATATAAGATGGATTATTGGTTACTTGTAGTTGAAAACTTCAGATCTTCAAGTTCGGATAAATTTCTTTTACCAATAAATCTGATAGTATGACATATTTCTCAATTAAAATTTAGTAAATTAAACGCTTCTGTGCGTGTCAATTGTAATAAATTTCTGAAAAAATAATATTCGAGACAATATTATGGAAAGTTTATTTTATCATCCTATTTAAAAATGAATCAATTTTTACCTGGAAGATTAATTTTTTATGCGAAGATCAAAAACATATCTAAACAGAAGATTTTAATTTTTTATATTTGTATTTATTATTCCTATAAAAATATTATGATGTACTCAAACTTTATTCATTATTAATGAATTGTTAATTTTTCTTTTAAATATTTCTTTTCGTTTTAATTAGTCTTTTTTTTTTCTTTGCATCTAATAAACATTAAGTTTTTTTTATTAAATAATGGAGTTACAAACAAATGAAATCTAATGGAGTTAACATTTCATAAATATTAAATTTTTTTTCTAAAATATTGTGATTACAAACTAATAGAATCTAATGGAGTTATAATTAATAAACATTAATTAAAGAACACAGTTGTAATAATACGGTTAATTCATGAAATTAAAATATAATTTCAATTCATTCGAATTTTTGGTATTAAAAATAAATTTTGCTATACCTTATTCAATTATAAAAATAATAAATCAACAAGCATTTCAATTGAGTATATAAAATTTTAATAAATAAATAATTATATCAGTTGAATTATAATTATTTTATTGTGGTGATAAATATTTCAATTTATTGTTTGGAAATTAAAAAAAATAATAATTTTATCTCTATTATTTGATCAAATTATTTAAATTAAATAAACACAAATATAAAATTATTCCATTTAAATAAATAAAATTATATAATCCTTGTATTCTGTCTGTGGATATATAACTAGTCCATTATAATTTAGAACAAGAATAAACTATTCTAGATATTACAATTTCGTACAGTTTTATTATAATTAACAACAAAAGAATTTCCTTTAACTTATATCTTTAGCCACCGTATTAAAAGCAAATATTATCAAATAATCTTTTAAACAACGATTTTTATATTATAATTTACAAGTAAAAATTTATTTATTTTTTGCTAAAAAAATTATTTTAATTCTATAGTTGATTTGATTTAATTTATTAACAATAATAATGATATATATTAAATAAAATTTTACAATAATATTGGTATATATGGCTCAAAATAACTATGCTACATTAAAAATATATAGTTTATTTTTAAAAATTAAAAATTTACTAATAACTTTCAAGTTAATTTATTTTTAATTTTAAAAGTTAACTCAGACAATTAATTAATCAACAAGACGACACGTAAAGCAGAGAACCACATGAGACCAGCGGTGAATAAATAGGCTGAAAAAGCAAAGCATATTATAAATTATTAATAAAAGAAACAGACAGTATTTAATACTCAAATAAATAAATAATTTTTTATTTAATTTTTTAGAGAGAAACCAAAAAAGCGAACAAACAAACTCCAAACCAAAGGAAAGTAACAGAGAAGAGAAAGAAGGAGAACAGAGGAGAAACATAACAAACACAAACACAATAATTTCAGATCCGTCCTTTTTTTGTTTTTGTTTTTCATTCCTTTTCTCGAGAAAATTAAATTTTCTCGAGAAAAGAAAAATTTTTTTTCTCTCCTCTCCTCTCCTCTCCGTGTTTCTCGAGAGAAATTCTACCTTTACCTGTTTTGCTTTACTTCTCTTCTTCTTCGTCTTCGTCTTCTTCGCGCGTGAATCCATGCGTGTAGGTTTACCTCTTCAGATTCATTTGGAGTTTTTTTTTTTATTCGGTGCGTTTCGGGTTATCATTGAATAAGCTATTAAAGTTGCTCTTATCTTTCTTTTGGTTTCATTAATGGTGAAGTTATGGGTGAGATCCGTACTGTGAGTGTCGGCATTGGTGAGATTTAATGCGGTCTCAGGTTTGAGAGCTTTACAGTGGTATAAATGTGACAAGTGATGGTTTTATGTACCTCTGATTGTAACGGTTTTTTACTTTTTTTTCTCTCAAATTTATGAGTTTTAGAGCTCATTATGGTTCTTTCTTTCGAGGTTTTGATGATGGGTTTATTACATGATCAATGAACTAGTGTAACCCTTTATTTCTTTAGACTTCACAGCATCACTGGTTAACTGAGTTTGGAATAAAGTCCTGAAATTTTTCTTGGTATGTTTAAATGGTGAGAAACGGATAAATTTTGAATTACTCTTTTCCATTTTTTTTCAAGATTTAGCTAGTACAGATCCTTTTATTTTTCAGATATTATCTTCAAGATATTAAGATTGTATTTGTTTAAGTTGATTTTAGAGATTGCTTATCGTGCGAGAGAGTTGTGAGAGATGATAGTCTAGAGAGCTTCGGTGTACATATATTTCTCAATTTAGATTGGTAATTGGTTTTATGTATTTTACGTTTTTCAGTAAAAATTCTGAGGACAGTCGTTTGGTGGATAGAATTTATCAGTCTTGCTGGCACTTTTTCTTCTTTGTAAGTCTTCAGCGTATTGATTATTACTTTCTGGTTTTCTTTGTGACAGTTAAGACCTGCACATATGTCTGCAAGGTTACTGTGAATCTACTTCCCTCCTCAGGAAATTAGGGTTTCCGTCCACATTTCACACAAATGTCAGGTAAGTTTAGCTTTCATAGGATTGATCCTTGAAGTGTTAGTTATGGAATGCATAACTTGGGTATGATGCTTAAGATAATCTTAGACTAATAATTATTGGTTTTTAACTACTCATTGTCTTATTGAAGGCCTAGAAGGAAATGGGTTCAATGATGAAATCAGAGAGAGGAGATCTGATTTTGAGAATTCTGAAGATGAGAGAAGGAGATCGAAAATTGGCACTCTCAAGAAGAAGGCATTAAATGCTTCAAATAAGTTCACTCATTCTCTTAAGAAAAGAGGAAAAAGGAAAATTGATTATAGAGTTTCTTCAGTTTCTATTGAGGATATAAGGGATGAAAAGGAGGAGAGTGCTGTATTAGAATTGCGACAAAAGCTTCTTGAAAGGGATTTGTTGCCTCCTAGGCACGATGAGTATCATACTTTGCTAAGGTCAGTCTGCCATTTTTTTTGACATGTAGTGTAAATCCATCATGAAGGAGGCCCACTGCTTTACCTGGCGGTTGGACAGTACAAATGGCCCATCGTGCATTCACTTATTGATAAAATTATTTTACTCTTTGTAGATTTTTGAAAGCTAGAGAGTTTAACATAGAAAGAACAATCCAGATGTGGGAAGAAATGCTTAATTGGAGGAAAGAGTATGGAACAGACACTATATTGGAGGTATTGAAGTTTATGCCTCTAACTTTGTTCTTCTTGCTTCACTTACGAGTTAGCATGTAGAAATTTACTCTTTATAAGGAGAAGGTTATTTCTAGAATATTTCCTCAATGTAGATGGAAATATTTCTCAATACAAACTTGGAGCTGCAGCAGTAGGTAAATTCTAATTGGGAGCACATTTGTAGCATTTGACCTGATGGTTACGCATAGTCCTATACAGTAGAAATTGTTCCTGTGAGAATTACAAATTTTTTAGTTCTTTTGTCATTCAACTCTAGCTGCATGCTGAAGCAAAACTTAATGCTTAGGATTTTGAGTTTGAAGAGCTGGAAGAGGTTTTGCAATATTACCCTCAGGGTTACCATGGAGTTGACAAGGAAGGCCGGCCAGTTTACATTGAAATGCTTGGAAAAGCTCATCCAAGTAAGCTGATGCGAATCACTACTGTAGATCGATATTTGAAGTACCATGTTCAAGAGTTTGAGAGGGCTCTGCTGGAGAAATTCCCTGCATGTTCTATTGCTGCAAGGAGACAGATATGTTCAACGACAACGATATTGGATGTACATGGCTTGGTATGTTGAATTGCATCCTAGATATGCCTTTTCAAATTGAATTTGGTAACTATAGAATCTTATAATAGAATTCTTGCTACTATTGTATGGAATTTGACACCCAGAAAATTATAGGTAAACTATTCCTGCTCCTTCATAAACTTTGAAGAGCTAAGTGAATTCTGAAATCTGGTATAATAAAATTCTGAATCTAGTTTATTTCTCTAGTAAAGTAGTCTCATTTTGCAAGTTTCTTGGATCACTATTTATGGAGTCAATGGAATTGGGAAAGGATAAGAGAATCAACTGTCTAAGTTCATTGAATTCTGAACTCTCATTTTCAAGTTCTGCAAGAGTCTCACTGTAGAGTTTTGTGATCATTCTTATAAGGTCAATAGCGTTGGTAAAGGATAAGGAAATCAAGTGAATTAGTAGAATGTTGATAAATTTTCTTCATTTATTGGTGACTGGTCATTTATGGTTCTTGCAATGGGTCCCATGCAGAATTTGAACTGGTCATTGATGTTATGTTAAAACAGGGCATCAAGAATTTCACACGGACTGCTGCAAATCTTTTGGCTGCAATGACAAAGATAGATAATAGTTATTACCCTGAGGTATTAAAGGTTTCTAGAAAATGTTTCCAAACTCTGTTTAATTGGTTTCCGAATGTTAACCACAACTTCCACAGACATTGCATAGGATGTATATTGTTAATGCTGGTCCTGCCTTTAAGAAGATGCTTTGGCCTGCAGCTCAGAAACTTCTAGATGCAAAGACTATTGCAAAGATACAGGTGGAGGATTTGATCACAAGCATATAGTTAATTGACCTTTCCCAGTCTTTATTAACTGCAAATGATTTCTTATATCACAGGTTCTGGATCCCAAGTCCCTGCCCAAGCTACTGGAAGTTATTGATGCAAGGTATGTCTATTTTCTGTTAACTCATTTTCACGTTTTTTTTTTCTGTAACATGCATAACTTCTTGCCTTTCTTTCCTTTTCAGTCAATTGCCAGACTTTTTGGGTGGTTCTTGCACTTGTTATGCTGAAGGAGGGTGTCTTAGATCAAATAAAGGTCCTTGGAATGATCCTGATGTGATGAAGGTTGGTAACCAATAATTAAAGTATTTGGCCATTTATTTTACATGGTAAATTTCTTGAGTATTAAAGGGAGATCTTGTATCTTTAAGTTGAACTTGTATTTGGAAATTAACCAATTTCTGTTGGAAAAAATGGTAGAGGAAAGAAAAGATTAGAATATTGACTGAAGAAAACGCAAACTAATTTTTGTTCAACAATAAGGGTATTATACAAAAGATGTAACTTACTTTCAACCTAATTCTTATAACTTACAACTTAAGTTAAGCTAATCCAAAATCTTTAGTTTGCTGCCATCATTTAGTTCAAGTCTACAAGAAAGCAGAATACCAGAAACACAAGGACAGCCTAAGTGTCACTTCTCTAACAATTTTTTACATTTTGTAGCTTGTACATAATGCGGGAGCAAAGTTTGTGAGGCAAATCACTAGAATGTCCAGTGACCAACATAAATTGGACTCACATATTCAGATACGCCCTCAGAAGGCACGTCCATAACTCACATATTTGGGTACTAGTATGTCTTATCTTTGGATATTTGATATTATTCTTTGTTCGTTAGGGAAGAAGTAGTGATACGTTGGCAGCAGAATCAGGGTCTGATATTGATGATCCATCTCCAGTCCATTGGAGTTCTACATTTCCACGTTTGGCCCCCGTTCATGAGGAAGTAAGTTGTCACTCGTGATTCAAATTCACTGTCAGGATTGTCTGCTCACACTTGTGTGTACAGATTTTGTTATAATTTTGTATGTATAATATGATCTTTGAAGGTCAGAGCAACAGATCCAAATGCCTACTACAGTTGTGATGATAGTTTTCCTTTGGTTGAGAAGACTACCCAAAGCAATCTGGGAGTGGAACATTCTGACAATCAATTACTTAACACCAGTGATCTGACGAGCTTTCCCGATCAGACGACATCAAATCTGGAAGGTACGTGTTAATGATATAGGTTTTTTCGTCTAGCATTCTCATATCCAATGAAGTTTGTTGCTAACTCAGTAAGATTGCGAAGATTGTTAGAAATTGACTTTTAGGCACAGTTCTTGCTTCTATGGATTCTGACCTATATTATTGCTGTGTCATATTGTCATCTTTGCAACTTGGATCACAAAATTCATGCCTTGCACTCCAATTTCAGGGGGTCTCATTATGCGTTGGTTGGACCTTATCAAGGAAAAGATTGGGAAGAGACATAATCTATGTGGGGCTAGACTGCTGATGTCATTTGTGGTCAAACTAATTGCTTTTTTCCATAGTTTACCATTTGAATTTTGGAAGAGGCAGAGCAACGTTCATCCCTCTAATCTTATGGAACATAATGCTGATAGTCATTCATCAGCTGTTGAAACTCTGAATGAAGAGTGTGTCCGTCCATGTATGGAGCGTCTACAGAGGCTGGAGAAAGTATTTGAACAACTTAGCAACAAGCCTGGTGCAATCCCATTGGAAAAAGAGCAAATGCTCATGGAATCTCTAGAGAGGATAAAGTCTGTGGAGTTTGATCTTGAGAAAACAAAGAGGGTATGCTTCATTCTACTTATTTTTAAAAGCTTTAGACTTCTGAAAGTGTGACATTTGATACAAATGGTCATGTTATCTATAATTATGCTGTTTGTGCAGTTAGTACAAGCTGCAGTTGTAAAGCAACTTGAGATTGCTGAATCGCTGGACAATTTACGAGAATCTAGATGTCGTGTAAGTATCTATTATTGAATCATATCCATAGTAAATTTCACACCTCAATAAGAGTAGGGGTAATTACCATGTAGTCCCTAGGTTTTGCTCAAATACACTAGTAAGAACCTCAGTTTCAAAATTACACTATGTAGTTCTTGCATTATAATTCCGTTAGACTATAAGGTCCAACTGTTAGTTTTTTTTTTGTTAAGTGATTGTGGAATGTCAAAAGTATCTCTAAAGATAATTAGCATATAGTTACGGTTTGGTTAAATACACTAGTAAGAAACTCAATTTTCATAATTTTACATTATTTAGTCCTTATATAATAATTATCCTTAAATGTATTTTTGATATTTCATAACCATCTAATGGAAAAAGTTAATAATTGGACGTTGTAGTATGACGGAATTATAATATAAAGACTAAATAGTGTAACTTTGAAATGGAGGTTCTTACCAGTGAATTTGACAAAAACTTGAGTGATGTGAGTTTTGAGACTTCCTTAGCCCATATTGAGGTTACTATATCCCAGGTCTTTAATTGATATGATCTAAACCCTCATTTTCAACATCTCTGTTTGCCTTCATTCTCAAAATGAATGAATAAATAAATCTGTGATTGCCTTATATCATATTAAGTGTAACTCATAGTTCAAATATTTTAAATCCCACTAAAGGAGTAAGTCATCATTATCAAAATATTCAATTTTCTTCAGAAATGAATTCATAACAGAATTGCTTCAGAAATTGAAGCCAACAGCCAAACCTGCAAAATGTTCACATCTGTAGTGTTCTTTCTAAATTATTTTCCTTGGTGAATGTAACACTGATATAGATTCTTCTTGCAGCAAAGAAGATTGTTCTGTTGAGTACCTGAAGTATAACAATGGTACTAGCTAGAAATTGGGGATAACAAGAGATGGATTTGCACAGATTGGAACGGCGAGAGCATCAATGTCACAATAATACTTTTCTGAAGAAGCAGGGGCAGATACAACCATTTTTTTTTTTTTTTTCCCTAACATGAGGTGGATGACTGCTGCTCTTCTCCCTCTCTTTCCCTTTCTGTCAATCCTTTTTCCTTCAAATCTTTTAGTCTCCTCTTACAGTTGGTACTTACAGAAGTTACAGTTAGCTGAGAAGTAACTAGTTCTGAACTTAGAGTTTCTTAACAGTGTAGAGAAAAGAACAACAAAAGAGAGTAAATGAAATGCGTTATAACCGAAGCATATTTAAATATATATATATATATTTATATACTTTTTTCTTCTTCCCTTTATTTTTTTGATCAAGTTAAATTTTGTCTCCAGTAATAAAGTCACTTCCTTGCTCATGATATTTACTTTAATGAACTCTGTCTTCCACAAAATAAACAGAACAAAAAACTATTGAACATCTATTTTATTTTTTTATGTAAAATTAAATATCATATCAATAGCCCATTTTTTTAAACAAAAAGTTATCAAAAGACAACTTTAATAGAAAAAATCTGCAGAAAGTTAAACTCTGGAAGATGAGTATACAACCAACCCTATGGTCCTATGGCGCCAGCAATCACCACTAGCTTCATCTCCTATTGAAACACAACAATATTAATATCTATAAGGAGCATCTAATGAATGCCTTTGGGTTTTCCAATAATTATAACTTTCCAAAAAAATACAAATTGCATACATATCAATGAGAGTACCATTCAAGTCGTTACTTACCATCGTAGCCCTAGTTCTGTATTCCCTCTGTCAATAAATATTAAATTAGACTCCCTTTATCAATAAATATATGAACAACGTCAGGTTTTGAATAATTAATGAACTTTTTTTCAATTTTATTCTTTCTTGACTTAGCGCGCCCAAATGTGCACAGGCAGATAGCAAACTCGCTAGTTTTGATTCATATCCAGACTTGAGAGGCAAAAAATGATAGAACGATGCTCTATCATTTATTTACAGCTAAACAGACCATACTCAAATATACAAGAATATAATAATGACATTACAAATGTAAGAAGTTCAACAAATAAAACCGGAGCCCTTAAATTTAAAATTTTAAGTACTTATAGGTCTATCAAATTCTAATCCCTACTACTTTGGGGTAGCAAATAACAAACCAATATACAAATAATTTTTTTGGTATGTACGAGTAATGAATAATTTTAACTGTAACACAATCAAATAGAAAGAAGGGTATTGTAGCTCTATCATGGTTAATAAACAATTACTGGTGAAAAATAATAGATTCATTTCTTGAGCCTTCAAAACAAGTGAACTAACAGTGCTAGGAAACCAGATGTGAGTATCAACAATAGGGATGGATCTCGAATAATCTGACTGCCACTATCATTAGCCGATTGTGATGGTGGGTTTGCAGGGCATTCAAGACCCAGTTTTCCTTCCCTGCATTCGCTAGCGAAAAGACCAGGCGGGTATTTCCCGTAGAGGTTAATGTAGCTAAACATGGTTGATGCACAATCACTGGTCAAGTCATTAATGACATCGGCATAAGGACACGCAAAATCCTTGAATGCAGCACAGCAGCTACTAGGAAGATAATCAGGTCCTTTACATCGGCTTGTGATGATTGTATAGTTCATAAACTCAAAGTTTACTGGGCAGGCTGCGCAAAGACAATAACTTCACATCAGAATGCTATTCCAAATAGAAGAACACAGCACATAAAAATCTGAAATGGAATTGCAAGTTACAACTAAAAATGGAAGACGGGAAATCAGCAGTCTTAAATATATTTCTAAGACCACTGAATTTTAAAAGTTCAATGGTTGTGAGTCTGAAACCTAATCAGAGCCAATTAATCAATATGTATATACATGGGTGTGTGTGTGTTTAGTTATATCACAAAAATGCACCAGCACTCCAGGGCTCAAGATCAAATATTTTATCAAAATGAATAGATGTAGATCAACCAGCCGTCATTTGCATATGTAGATAGGTAACCTACTACTATGAAACCCAGAGCAGAACTGCTGGCCTGAATGAAAAGAGAGGCATCTGATCAATGTGTGCAAAAGCACAGATCACGTTTTTAAAATTTTCAGCACAGATTGGAGACTGTAATCAACTTTCTTCTCTTTCATAATCGCACTAACTTTCGAATTTAACCAATGTAATGTAGATGATGTTGGAAAATCAGGGTGTACTTACCATACTTCTCCCTCTTGTATGTGGCTAGTAGGACACGACCAAGTAGAGAATAATAAGATCACAAAATGAGAAATAATTAAAGGGAAAACCATGAGACACTCTGAAAAATATCTTCACTAATTAGATAATGAAGATACAAAACTACCATAGCCAAGATACCCAGTAATACCACTAATTACAAGGCTGAAATACTATTTTATTTTATCCTCTTGCATACACATGGTGCAGTATCTCACAAACTCCTCTCCTCTTCCTCCCTCTTTCTCTCTACTAAGCCACTTGATTTGCTTAGTCCAATGCTCTCTACCTAGTGCATTTTGAGCACCATCCTATATAACTATTTATAGCCGCACATGGCATGATAAAATAAATGAAGGTGGCCACCAAAGTCCAAACAACAACACCAACCATGCCTCAGCCCAAACCAATTGGGGTCAGCTATATGAATCCTGTCAGAAAAAATTTTGAAGGGGAATTTTAAAATCATTGATATATTAATAAAAAATTTTGAAATACCAAAGTCCAAAATTTCCCAACTAATGGCACACAATAAGAGTAATCAGTCAACCTGAAACATTTAATGATCATTATCACCATAAATGAATATCAGAGAAAAAGTTGGGTATTCCAGTCTTATGGCCTGCAGTAACGATTTGTTATCTTATGATCATCTAACTTTCCTCAATTGGCCATTTTGAATCCCTCCTATTGTTGAAAGATCTCCTTCACAAATTTGCAAAAATCTCATAGATTACCACATGTTTTTATCTCCGCAAGTGGCCAAACGATGCATTAACACAGGCCCAAAGTATAATTTCAGTTATCAAACATCACATGAATCTCTTTGTGGTCACTTTACCTAGTCATGTAACCAATGAAGAGGTGTTCTCTCAATGAGCAAACATACATACTATATTTGAATTTTTACTAGATATATTATGAATATAAAAATCTTAAGAATTGACAATGTAACTTCATAATGAGGTCCACAAGTAAAGGGCTGACTTCCAATTGAAACTAATTGGTATGCAATTCAAACTAATGCAAGCATGTTAGGGTTCATTTGGATATATATGCATTTTAAATGAAAATGGAATTGAATTGTATTTCAAGCAAAAAATCATAAAACAACATAATTTCAAATTCATAACTCTCTGCATTTAAAATCCTCATAATTCAAATAAGCCCTAAATTTCAAACAATATAGCACGGAAATTTGGGAGCCAAACAATTTGCCCACAAACACATAATGCTGTTGTGTTGATGAACAATGCTGAAAATGAAGTCTCTTTAAAGCAAATCATATTTTTTTACAAGAGCTTTTAGTAAACCCAAATTGGCTTATAATATGCACAAAATCAAAAGGCAGTAACTCATTTTAACTAAAATTTTTCTGTGGCTCTAGCTTTTAGAGGAGAGAAAATAAAAACAAGGAACAGACACTGAACACCTCAATCTCAAGAGAGAAGACCTTATCTCTCTCTCCCCCCTTCCACCACCACCACCACCTCTATACAAAGTGGATGAAGATGTGAACTACCAAAAAACAAAAGTTACTTTTCTCTCGATAAATACCCAACCCACAAAAGTTTATCATGCTAACTGAACAACAAAGAAAAAACTGCCCGAGATCAGCAAGCAACTGATTAGATATCACTATTTGCATGATTGCTGCTTTAAGTCAAAATCAATTAATTTTACACTACAATAGAAGTGGATCAACAGAATAAAACGGGACAAGGAACTCTCATTGTTAATGCAAAATGGAAACCATGGAGGAGACTATATATATAAAAACTTCCAGCAACCTCATGACGAATTATCCAGAAACTCACAAAATTGAATCTGCTCTTAAGAAAATAATTTCGTAACAGAAAAAAAAAGCATAGAGTCAGTAAAAAAATGAAGCAATTAGACTGCAAAAGAATGCAATATGAACAAAACCCATAAAAGAAGCCAAAGATTAGGGTCTGAATTCCTTCCTTGCACACCCTCTTCCAAAATTATTAGAAAAATTGTAATAAGCAAAGAATGTGATAAGAAGAAAGGAAGAAGACGAAAACCTTTCTTAGCCTGAAGTAGATTCCTGGCAGTAGAAGCATGGGATTCAAAAACAGAATCTGGATCCAAGTCAATAACAGATAAACAATACCATTAAACCCTTTTCCAAAAAGATAAAAAAAATTCAACTAACAGGCACAATCAAAACCCATATACTAGAACACACACGTTTACTAAACTTAAAGTACCTGAAATGAAACTGGAAGCAGAAGAAGGAGGAGCAAAAAGAAACACAAACAGAAGAAACATGAAAATGGCAGAACACTTTGTCAAATCCATCTTGATATGTAAGGGGGAGAGATCTATCTATCCCTCCTTGTATAAAGATTTTTACTTTCTGGGTTCAAAATATAAGATCTTTCTTCTGAAAAAAACAGAAAGCTTGAAGCTTTAAAGATCTAGAAAGAAAGAAAGAGTCGGACAAAGAAAAACAAACAGAAAGAAACTAAATAAAATAGAATAGAATAATACAGATAATTACAGCAGTGTATGATGAGAAGTGGGCTACAGCAAATTACGCGAAAACTGGGCCATACCCTTAATGGGTAGGCATAGCTGCTTGCTTCTTTCTTTCATTTTCTACTTCCTAATACTGAAATTAATTAAAAAATTAATAACCTGACGTTAGACGACTTGATTCATTGTGGGTAAGTCAAGAACAGTAAGTATCATGCTCCGTTTCGGCGGCTAGATTTTGCGGTTTAAAGGATAATTATATCAAATAAATGATAATTCTTAATTAGATTAAAGACTCTTCTTTTTTATAACTTAAGTCATTCATCTTTTTGAAATATTTAAATCATTTAGTTGTTTATTTTAATCACAGTAAAAAATTGGAATAGAAGCCAATATGTCGGGTAAATTTTTTTTTTTTTTAAACGATTCTTTTTTGAAATATTTAAATCAATTAAGTGTTTTTTTTATAATCACAGTAAAAATTGGAATAGAAGCCAGAAAATTCGGGTAAATTTTACTTTTTTTTTTTAAATATTTATGTCGGGTAATTTTCTTTTTTTTTAAATTTTGTAAGGGTAAATTATGCTGACATTTTATTTGATCGTGAATTATTAAGTTTATCATTTTAAAAGTTATTTATTTTAATGTTTTGTTTCAACTCAAAGTCACCCTCTGAATTGGGAGCTAAAACAAAGTGAATAGAACAAAGGATATTATTCTCAGTACTTCTATAGAACTCACAAACTTACGTACTCACGACGAATTCTCCTAAAACCACTTAGACGAAAAATCTTTTCCTTAATTAGAAAAAAGAGTAAAATTTGTTACTATTTTGCTCCTGAATCATATATATTTAGAATATCTTTTATTATAGGAAGAAATGATTTTGGATCGGGTAAATTTTTTTTTTTTTTAATATTTGTCGGGTAAATTTTTTTTTTTTTAAATATTTGTAAGGTAAATTATGCTGACATTTTAATTTGATCGTGAAATATTAGTTTATCATTTTAAAATTATTTATCTTTAATTTTTGTTTCAACGCAAGTCACCCTCTGAATTGAGCTAAACAAAGTGATAGAAAAAAGGAATATTCTCGTGACTCCTATTAACTCACAACTTATCTACTCACCAATCTCCTAAAACCATTAGAGAAAAATCTTTTTCCTTAATTAGAAAAAAAGAGTAAAATTTTTTACTTATTTTTCTCCTGAATCCATATATTTTAAATATCTTTTATTTATAGAAAAATGATGGATGAAAATAGAATTTCATTTATTTTTATTAAATTATTTAAATATCTCAAAATAACTAGAATCGTATTTTATTGTTTAAAAATAAATCAGGTTATAATTGTCAATTTTCAATAATCACATCTTTTTTTACTCTTAAAATTTTGCCGATGAAGGAAAATAAATTTAATTTCTTTCCTCCGTTGTATCCAAAATAGAAATAACTTGTGAAAAGAAAATTGACAACTCATCTGTTTATAATATTTTCCTTTAACAGTTACTTTACACAAATTTATTCAATTTATATAATACGTTCTTATGATGTTTAATGAGTTTATTATCAAATATACTTTACACAAATTTACTCAATTTATATAATATGTACTCGTGATGTTTAATGAATTCATTATGAAATATACTCGTGTTGTAGTTGAATTTTAAAATATATAATAACTAGATGGTCTCTCGAGCTTCAAGTGGATATAAAATAATACATTTTTTTTTTATTATTTAAAATATTAGACATATTTGTTGATTGAGTTTTGAAAAATAAAATAATACTTCTCTATTTCACCTATTTACCATTTTTTAATAGAGAAGTTTTTTTAGGATGGATATAGGGAAGATTTGTTCTGTTACTAACAAAGACGATGTACAGAATGAGAAATGGCGGTTCAATTTTTCTTCTTCTTTTTTGTTCAGTTCCAACCGGCAGGAGATTAGAAAAACGTGTCATTGATGTAGCAAACGATGAAAGTGGGATTTTAGATATATGTTTGGCTAATGAGAAAGGGTAGAAGAATGTAGAATTGCAGAAAAACGAGAAGCAGCAAAAGAATCTAGAGGGAGAGGATAAAACTGGAAAAGTTATGAATATTGCCAACTTTGTCCAGAAAATCGGCAAGTTCACAGCTTTTAACTATAATTGATTACAATATATTCAATTTAAGTTTATATCAGGGGAATTTATACACCAATATTACATGAACTTTGTTACAAATAATCTAATGAATGTAAGCCCAAACGTTCACAATACAGTTCAATAAAATAGGAAAAAAATTTTTTTTAAAACAAATAAATATATAATTTCATAAATTTTTACCATATGGAATTCTGGGCAAGAGCTTGTATTTACCATGCCAGATTGAATCTTGATTTCCGCTTAAATTGCTTCTTTGTCACACACCATGGTCCAGGGAAGGTGCTCAACTATACAAAATGAAAAGAAACATTGAAGTTGTTGACTATGTTGACAACAACTTTTTAAATATCTTTTAGTCAAAACTAAACGCTATATTTTATAATGTTTCGTAACATGATGTTTGTTAACATAACATTTGAATTGCTTTTTGAAGTTTAAGGTAGCATTTTATAAAAAAAACTAGCTTTTAGAAGTTTAAGGTAGCATTTTACTAAAAAAAAAAAAAACTAGCTTTTAGAAGTTAAGATAATATTTTATAAAAAGTTAACAAATGTAACGTTTATCTTTTGAACCTATTCAAACAGCTCACAGCTACAAAAACAGCTAATTTTGCCGAACATATTATAAAATGACCCAGATACTTGAGACTTCAAATCATCATTGCTAGAAATGATGATATTCATATATAAATCAGCCAAGGCCTGTATTTCCAAAAGTTGATTAACTAATCCCTTAATTTTGTCAACATCCTAGTATCCTACTACTGCATCCAGCTTTGAAATGTTAATTTTACCCTCAAATCCAACTGCAAATTTTCTTCTCTCTGCCACTATTCAATTCAAACCCTCCCCATTACTTAATTTTCTCTCCCCTCTATCCAGACTGAATCTCATGATAGACTGCCATGGTTGTTAGGAATTAAATTAAGTTCTATTCAGCAAACTTCAATATAGGATTATTGCTTCCATTTTGTGACACATAATGTACTGCATATATAGAAATTTGGTGGTTAAGTTCAGGTAGCTTACATTGCTGATAAGCTTTCCTCCAAACCATGTAGTGTCTGCACCATATGGAGGAGGAATGACTCTTATTCCATTGCTAATGGATGCAGGAAGAAGCTCACGCAGTTCCTTCTCTAGCCTCTCTGAAAGCAAATCAGGAAAAAGAAGTTCATATGCTTGTGGCTTGCACATGTATTGCTTTTTTTTTTTTTTTTCTTTTTCCTTGCAGAAACAGATTGATATCCTTTATAGTTACCTGCTAGTCCGGGTAAACATGCGGTCCCTCCGGACAATACCACAGTCTTAAACCAAGAATCATCACCAGTCAACTCTGCTGCATGACAGTGGTCCATGCAAAGTGCTACTGCCTGGTGCAAACCCATTGTACGACTGTGTCATGAGGTAAATGAAGCGTTTTAACCAACTGGATTAGGTTTATGATTCTCATGCCATATAATGTACAAAAAGTAAACTGGTGGTTGTTTTGTAAAAAAAAGAAAAAACTTATGCATTTATATAATATCACTACTAAAGCATCTTTTTTTGTAATTCAAATTTATAATTCCAATGTATTCTTAAAAGGTTAGTTTGTGAGGATATATGGACTTACACTCCCGCAATACGTGGCTGGAATAAGATCTCCCCTGTTTTAAAGCGTTCTTTTGAAAGGGTAAACCATCCTTCTCCTTGAACTTCTAATGATGCTTGTGTGTCTCTAGATAACTCAGCCTCATAATCAGCAGCAACATAACAAAGGTTCTGTATTTCCATTATGAAAGAACAAAATCAATCAGAACGAAATTATACTCCACAAGGTCAATGTTAGTATGCACAACAGAAGAGAATTTGTAATTTTGAACCCAATTCGTGCAAAGCAACAACCATCATGCCTTATCAATATGGAAGAACAACCTATACATTCATAAAAGTGAATAATTGGGACATCAGAAAGCATATTGAATGAAGAAATTATCCTTTTTCTGCATGAAAACTTTGTTAGCGACAATCTGAGCTACACAATGGTGGAGATATAAAATGGGAAGTAAGAATTGATCTGTCAAGAATGTGCAATCAAAAAGATCTATGAGATGCAATACCTTGGTAAATTCAGTCGGAGGCCTACAAGAAATCCAAAATTACTTATTCTACACGGTTTCTAAATAATATTGAATACTCAAGTAAGCCTTAATCTGACATTAGGAGGCTTGCTATACAGATCCATTTTCTTAACAATATTATATGGCCTAAAAATTTATGCAGGGACCAGGAAAATCTACAGACATTGTTGCTAGAAATGTAACCAGCAGAGAACATCTGAACAGCGGCTACCAATCTTTGTGCAACATAATACAGGCATGACTAAAAAGCAAACATGACGTGTCCAAAGTCAATGGAGAATATCTAATCCATGAATGCAGAATGCATTTACTAAAGTACATTGTAGGTACAGAAAGTGCACATCCTTCATTTCTGCACCAAGAGATGAAAAAATAAAATTTATAATTTTCTATTACGTTATGTTATCATCAACTGGTTTCTATCCTTGGTCAGCATTTATCTTAATCAACCTTTTCAATGTATAAATAGTTAAATATCCATGGGACCTCTGCCTGAAAAAACAAACATTTTCATGCCACATTTCTAGAAGCCAATTTAATGACATTTGCCATCATGGCTATGCATATCTAACGAGGAAAATAAGTATGCGTTGCGTAAAGCTGAAGGTAAAACAAAAGATTTTGTGGTTACAGCTGCATGTTCACAACTGTATCTTCCAAAATTTAATGTTTGAATATTATAAAATTTAAATCTCTAATGTAGGTTTTGTGCATAAATCATTTGTGTAATTGCACAAAGCTTATAGGTTAAACACTTACTTTCTTTCTTTCTCTCTCTTCCTCCCTCATACTTTATTTCTTCTGATGTTTTCCACTGAATGTTTCAATTTCTACGAGAAATATGAACTTTCTTTCATTTAGATGTGTGCTTGTGCTTTGTGCCTAGGCTCTAGGAGACTGACCTTAGAGCATAAATGTAATTTTGACCATATTGATTGAAAATCACAGTGCTAGTCCAATGCCTTGATAATTTTACAACCTCAACCTACACTTGAGGGATACCCACAGGGGCAGACTGTTCAAACAAGACGCTCAAAGTTTTTTTTTTGCAGTACAAAGTGATGTTTTCAATTTATTTATAGATTACAATCACTTAACTAATTGTGCTCTTGAGTTTGATTTTGGCGCAAAGGAAATAACTGGCATCAAATCTTACCATGTGACATGAAGAATTATTTAGAATTTCAAAGAATTTATGAAAAGATGAAGGATGAAGTGACAATTCTCGATTTGAATTAGGTTGAAAATTATGCAACCATAAGAATTTCACCAAGCTTAATAACAACATTGTGGATACAGGAAGAACCATTACAACTTTGTACCTCTTTCAGTGTACGAACAGTGTACAGTGATTCAAAATTGATATTATTCTGCTGCATCTGTTCTCTAAGAAATCCTGTAACCTTTAATGCTCCAAGACCAATAACTTCCACACCTATCTTGCGCATTACTTTACCATTTAAAACTGTAATGTGCAGAAATGATAGAGGATAAATGTTTAAGATGAAAGAGCAACTAAAACAATAAATAAGGGTTAATGGAAATACTCGAAGACTTATTGAGATGCAAGAGGTTAGATCTTTAAACATGAAGAGTAATACAACTTGCATATGCTAGATAAAAGAAGGATCAATAAATGAATGAAGATGAATAAATCAAAAAGAATATACAACAAGACACATATAAAAGTGCAGAGAAGGTCTTAGGATAAGAAATGCACAAGAAGGATAGTTAAGCATCTAGAAGAATAAAGCTAACTTTAAGTTCACCAGATGTAACATTTTATCTCAAATAAATTTCCAGAAGAAAGCATTTTAGAGGGAAATAACACAATCACTTACTTGGAACAATAGATGTGACTTGGAAACCAATATTAACAGCAATTCCTGAAGTTCGCCTAGCAGCATACAATGCTAATGTTGCCTGTAGAACATTTAATGCATTAACATACAAAATAAGACTGACAACAGCAGAATCTCTTGATTGCTCTGCTGTTGAAACAAGAAAGTAACTTAAAATTCGCCATGCAAAACTCAAAAAAAAAAACAAAAAAAAAGAGGAAAAAAAAAGGTTTTTCACAGAATTCAATATGGAATGAACTTTCAGAGCACAAAACTGCTCGAAAGAAGCTCCCAGATTGTAGAAATTTCTACATTGAAATACTATTTCGGGGAAAATGTTGGATTCCAAATGTATTTCCCTTTTTATTTTTTTACAGTGAATGCCAGATAATATACCTGAGTGTTAAACTTGTCATTCAGGCAACAAAAAGTTTACTTTATATTTAAACAAAGTGATTTCTTTAGCGATACAAAAATAAATTTGAAGTTTTGTCATATCTTTTTTTCTGGGTACTCCCACATTAATTTATCTGACATTTGCTAATCTTTCTTTAAGAACATTGTCATTTTGGGGGACTCCATAAGATCTGCTTTGCACCACAGGCAGCACCCATAATCTAAATCAAAGTTGTGCCCCTCTAAGTCCCGCTTTACTTATTAAAAGACAATAAAAAGAATGGCAGTACCATTGAGGAAGCCAAGAAAGTAATTAATTTGATCACCGGGTAATTAGACTTTGAAGTAGTTTACCATAGGTTCTTTTCACCCTTTTCCCCAGAATAAGAGCCATTGATGCCGTAAGAAACACAGGAATAAATTGATAAACAAACACAACACACCTGATTAATAGCACAAACAGCTGGAGCATTCATGTCAAACAGAGCTGTGTACATGGCTTCTTTTAGCTGCCGTCTTGATGCTTTGGCAGATTCAGTATCTGGAATTATAAAGATAGAAAGCCATCAGTAATGCATTATGACAATGTAATATAAAATCCGGCCATCATAACCATATAGTTTAAATTCTCTAATCATTTTCCAAACAAAGATTACGAAATTCTTTTCAACTTTATTGGATGCTAGAAATTTTGACATGAAGAAAACCTTGTCCTTTTAATTAAAAAAAAAAAAATTTAATGCATATTACATTTTATGCTACCAGAACGAAATATGGTATCAAGCAAAACTAAGCAAGTAAATGGCAGTGCATTTCGAAATTTCTGAGGATTAAATCTAATTATTGAATGAAATATCAAAAGCTTATGATTAACTATTTCCCTATCTAATTGAAACGATAAAAAGCCACCCATCACGCCTGAAGAAGTTTCAGGTTCAAAAGTTTGAAGTATTTGCAGTGCCACAGCCTTAACATTAAACTGAAAGCCCCATACTTGGATAAGAAACTAATAAAATTGCCAACATTCAGTAACACCTTATAATTCCTCCCAAAGCCATTTTTATATAATGGTTTTTTAGACTAAATTGAACTAGCCCGAACCATCATATTTATAACTTCTCTGAAGGGGCCATTTACATACATACATATAAGTAAAATTAGCTAAGAAGAGTCTAACCATCATAATGGCAAATTGGAAGGGACACAAGAATTGGCTGTGTTGATGCTTTTACCTGCATCCTGTTAGGAGATATTGTAAAAATCTTTAGCTTCAAGACAATATAAGAATAAAAATGAATATCAAAGGGCTAGCAAACTTGTATGCTTTAACAGATTGAGGGATTAGAAGTTAAAAATTAATTCAATTATATGGATTCAGCTAGAAGCATGCTTAAGAATACAAACCACTATTAAACCTTTGAATGTACTACATTGTAATTGTAGATTACTTAAATGCAGCAGACAACTTCTTGAAGAGAAAAAAGTCATTTGATTAAAAAAAATAAAAAAAAGGAAAAAGAAAAAGACATACCTGCCATAAATAGTAGCGAAAAAATGCCGGAGCCTGGAGTACATTGGAGATTCAATATTACCAAATTCCTGCACACAGATGATCACAGAATAGGTTTTAAATTTAAAAAAAAAAAAAGGTAAATTCTATTTAGTATAGTGAAACCAAAAACATTAATTAACTATAGAAGTAGGAACAGCAAAAATTTCCCAACTTTGGCGAAATTGCTTCCACAAACCTCTAAACTGCCAGTTAAAAGCAAAAGCTCACCAAAAATGTTGCTGCACGCCCAGAAGGACAAGCATATTTGCTCCAACCAAACTTGCAATAGCCCGAACCACCTATTCAACGGCATTTGAACAGAATGAAGCAGCATGAACAGATTTAATATACTAAACGTAAGACTGTCCACGACTTAAAACAAGAAAATATTTCCAAATTTGAACAACCTCAACTGGCATTATGAATCAGATTTTACATCCAGTAATTTCGCACTAATTATCCACCTTAAATATATTCAAAAGGGATCCTGCATATCTATAAAACTCACCATCAATAATGATACAACCTGGGACTTGTTCACGCTCGCCATATATACGCATAAATGACAACTCCGTAGTGATTTGACCACTATATGCCCTGCAAGTAAAATCACGAATTCCTTTTCATGAATTATGAAATTGGACTCTCAATCGTTCAATTCCAACAAAAAACGACAGCAATTCGCATCAGATTTAAATTAATTCCTCCAAAATTCTCCTCATGAAAGCGCAGATTTCTGTTTATAGACCCCTATTTGTTTACTAACAAACACTACTTCAACAGTAAAAAGTCGTTGCATGCACAACAGGATGGGCAATCAAACAGAGCTTAAACAACACCACTAGCTGTTTCATTTTTCTTGAACTTTCTGAGCAGTCAAACAGAGCTTAAACGTCAAAAAGAAGAGGGAAAACTCACTGGAAAGGATACCGGAGATTGGTTTCCGCGAAGAAAACAGAGTCCGAAGAATCACAGTAGTTCTGGAGAAAGTAAATCCAGAGACGATTATCAGATACGAGTGACCTCCAAGACTCACAAACTACGCTCAATCTAGCTGCGTCCTTTGGCCCAACCAATCTCAAAATATACATCACTACATCTAATGGTATTCGGTCAAAATCTCCAAGCGAAGATAACACGGAATAACTCCGTCGATCCGCCGAGTCAATGCTGGGACTCGAACAAGAACTGGCCCGGTTTGACACCGATTCCCACACCTTTCTCAATAGCGTCGCCATGATTTACAAAATTTTATTTCACTCTTTCTCTATTCATTACCTCATGATGGAAAATTAAATGAATTTTCCTGAGGAATTTGTTAAGTTAGTTTCCATGGAAACAAACAAAAACCAACAGATGTAAAAGTGAATTCTGGGGAAGTTAAGACAAGCGCGCATATGGTGGACTTTTAAGCAAATAGGGGGAGGGATGATGACGTGGAATCGAGTAATAATGACACGTGGGTAAAGAAGAGCCAGCGATTGCTGGTTAGTTGTTGGCTCGTGTTTATGGTGCGACGTCAGATGTGAACCGGGTGAAGCCACACGTTTTATTTCTGGGATATTGGTAATTTCAGGGCACGAATTGTTTAATTTTTTCTATTTGAGTGCCTCGTGGAAAAATATTTCAACTGGTGTTTAAAGGTTTTTAAAAATGCAATTAGGTATTTTTAGCTGATTTTGGATAGGAAAATATTTCAACTGGGTGTTTAAATATTTTTAAAAATGTAATCATGTGCTTGTAGCTGATTTCTATTTTTGAATTGCTGACTTCATAGATGTGAGTTCCACTTTTAATGAGGTGTCAAAAAACGTGTAATAAAAGATAAATACATGTCGGATCCACATGGATATGTCTACGAAATCTAAACAAATATCCTAACATAATTGAAACGACTTGAATATTTGATTTCATAGAATTTTCATTTAAAAACTAAATTTTTAAATCGACCAATGAGGATTTACAATAAATATTTAATTGTTGTTAAATCGGACCCGTTAACCAGCTTGAATTTTTCGAAAACCAGATGAAAAATCCATAAATCAATTGAAAAATCAAGCTAAAACCATGATTTAAACATGTCGGATCCGACATGATATCACGAATCTAAAAACAAATATCCTAAACATAATTGAAACGAGTGAATATTTGATTTATCAATCGAAATTTCATTTAAAAAACATAAATTTTTAAATCGCCAATGAAGATGTTAACATTATAAAATATTTATTGTTAAATCGGACCCGTTAACCAGCTTGAATTTTTCGAAAACCAGATGAAAAATCCATAAATCAATTGAAAAATCAAGCTAAAACCATGATTTAAATTAAACCAGACTCGAATCGACCCAAACCCCATCCACCAATTAGAAAATTCTAGAAAAAAAAAAGAAAAAGAAAAAGAGAAACGACTCGCCATTCTCTCTCAACAAGCCCCCTCCCCTTTTCTTCTCGTTCTCCGGCTGTCGGTCACCAAATGCGGCAAATAAATACTCTAAAAATATCTACTCGTCGCAAGGAGTTTGATTCAAGCTTTGGTTTGCGCGATTTGAGCCTGGATTGAGAGAAAACTCGACTGAAAGGGTGCGACGCCATAGTAGCAACTTTTTCAGCCATTCACATCGTTTCCAGCGACCTGAGGCTTCAAGGTTTGATTTTCTAGCCATCATGCACGGCGGCCGGCGGCGGCGGTCCGGCGAGGCTTCAAGAGGCAGAATGACCTCCTCTTCGCGTAGATTTCGGAATCATAGACTGATTTTCAATCGGTACACTCTAAAGCTTAATTCGCAATTTTTGAATAAATCCCTAATTAATTTATTAATGAATTTAATTAAGTATTTAAGTAAATTAAATTGAATATTGTTGAATATATTTCATGAACATTAATTATAACAATAAAGTTGATATTGAAATAAAAATTTCTAGTTAATAGTTATGTAAGTTGAAATAAAAATTTCTAGTTAATAGTTATGTAAGTTAATTTTAGGAATTTTAATAAATATTGTTAGGAAGAATTATAATTTATGATATAGACAAGTAATTAGTTATAAGACAATTAATTATATCATGGGAATTTAGCTTAAATGAGAATGTGCCCGATGAATGGGCTATGTGAATTGAATGAACAAATGAATGATGGTTAGGGCGGACGGGATCAGTTAATGTGAATTGTCCGATAGATGGGCTGTGTGTTGAAATGTAGAATATGTAAAATTGGGTAGTACAGTTTATAAGGGAAATGCTGCCAAATTTTCGGCGAAACACCTAAATCAGTTATATCCTTAATAGGTAGTAACAACTAAAACTTTTAGTATTATTACTTATATTATTATAAATTAATTATTATTATTATTATCATTGTATTTAATTATTATTATAAAAATATTATCTTAGAAATAAATTTAGAACCTTTATTACAAGTTTATATAATATAAATGAATATATATATGATATTTTAAAAATATAGTTATTAAATTAAAATAAAAATTTTAGTTCGATAGAGTTTAATGAATATAATAGCTATAGAGGCTCAAAAATTAAATAAATGAATGCATATAGTACATTTATGGAATTGGGAAATCTTATGCATTAATTTTTCTTTCTAGATTTGCCTGTATGAGTTCTCTAGAATTTGGTGAGACAATGCTCTGGATAGGATTGCAGTATATAGAGATTAGTCCTTTTAAAGCACAATCAAAAGATACTGTGAGTAGTGTTAGATAATTCGCATCATCCACCTGCACATGCATCACGACTAAATGTTAGCATGCATTACTTGGTGAAATATTATATTGTGCTGCATTATTTGTTGCGATTAAAAAGAAATTGTTTGATTACCTGTGTTATGATATTACTGTGCTTTGTTTGTGTGGCATTGGGATGAAGTGGGTCACTATGGGATTGTGAGACCGTCGGCCATGTATGGGGAGATCGGCACCCCTGTGTGCACCTGATGATATGATATGGATGATATGGAAAACCACAGGGTGGCCTCCTGTTGGTATGGAAAAGAAAGCTGTTTGGTTAAAGGAAAAGAAAAAGAGAGATATTGTAAAAAGACAATTGAGAAGGGAGCTTGGGTCAAACCGTGAAGGATCTAGACTTAAGGTGCTGGCCCATGTATGGGGGGATCGGCGTCCTGGTGCACAGAAACGTTGTGAGAAAGGATTGGGCCATGTGGGAAGGAACGGCTCACTAGGGTTTCAGGTGAACGGCACTGACTAATTTTTCACGTGACCTCGCTGATTATAAATGAAGATGATAATCCGATATTAATGTGGATTTGCTGTTGTAGTCTCAAAAGTTTCGCCATTTGTAGTGACAAAACTGCAGTGATCATGATAATTAAGTGCGGTCGTGGGAGAGGACTAAATTTGATAATTATATAGACATATGAAGTGATTGTGTGGGGGTGAAAGGGTTATCTAAACCTACTCCTGAGTTTTGGTGGGCTGCACCCCTGGCCGTCCTTTTTTTTTTTCTGGTAAAAAGGAAGAAAGAGAGTCACAGGTGGACGCTCGACTGAGTCGAAATATCGAAAACTAAAAACTTGTTAGATGGTAGTAAATTGTGTTATGCCATGTATATAGTAAGAGTACCAAGAAACCTAATCGGACTCGGGTAGGATTTATGGAGTTCTGGCAATTGTATTGCGCAAATGGGTTGCAATTGAATAATAAGAAGCTACAGTGATGTGATTATATGAAGATGATAATAATTGTGATTGCTGTTGTATTGCCATTTGTGTGACAAACTGCATGATCATATAATTAGTCGGAGGACTAAATTGATTTATTATAACATATGAGTGATTGTGTGGGGTGAAAGGGTTATCTAACCCTACTCACTGAGTTTGGTGCTCACCCCTGCCTCCTTTTTTTTTCTGGTAATAGGAAGAAAAGAGAGTCCTATGGACCCGACTGAGTCGAAATATCGAAACTAAAAACTTGTTAATAGTTGTGTTAGCCATGTAATGTTAAGGACTGTAGATTATGGAGTTCTGCAATTGTATTCCAAATGGGTTGCAATTGAATAATAAGAGCACATATATTAATTGTATGAATTGTACTTTTGATATATTGATGAAATAAGTTATTGGGCCTGAAGCCACAATTATAAATAGAACATGGATTAACTAAGATATGTTTACCACGGACCTCAGAGGCCTTATGCCCGCCCAGGTCCTAGTGCCGGTCCGGCCCATGGAAACGGGTCGTGACAATAATTGAAAACCAAATTTTGAGACTCCCAGTCCCCATTTTCCAAATTTTCCTCAAGCTAAGCCTTTCAAAACAGAGACCTCTTTATCAAAATTAGGTTTTCTTGATATTTCTTAAGGATTCGATGCAAAGATATTGAAATCGACGTTGATTGTTGCATAAAAGGAGATCTATTGTTTTTGACCGAGCTATAATGGAGCTTTTGGATGATTTTGACAACAGGTATGTGTTCCATTTGCTTTGTAGAAGCGGTACATTATTGTTGTGTATTTGTTGTGCTTAGTTTATGATTTTTTTTCTTTTGTGTGTATTGTTTATTAAATAAGGTATCTTGCTTTTTTTTTTTTCTGGGTATTTTCGACATTGCTTTTGTTTTATTTTTCTGAGTATTTTTGGTTCAAATGTAGTGGGTTTGAATGTGGAATTGAAGTGAATCATTAGGGATATTTATTTGGTAGTGGTTGTGTATATGTTGGAGAGTATAAACTATTAATAGGAGCTAATTTTGACAAATTTTATCTTAAAGTTTTTTATGCATGCATGCAAGATGTAATGGGGAAGAGAGTGATAGAAAAAATACATTTTAGACAGCTTGGAAGACCTTTAGCGCATGGACTTACTTTTGTATATGATGGACTAGCCACTTGTTGAGCATGTAATAGTTAGGGACAAAAATGAAACTTTAAGTGAGGGTAATGTTGACACTGTGTGTGACCTAACTACAGTGTATAGGTACAATGAAAAGGGAAAAGCAGTAGCCGATTCTAGTAGTAGGGTATTAGATGAAACTTATGAGCATATTGACTATGGTGAGGTGGGTGGGGGCATTCATTTCTCATCTGGGCCTGTTGAGTTTGATATGAATGTCAATTATAATACTACTGAGGCAGGTGGTAGGAGTATTAATATCTTATGATGAAACAAATGGAGGTCTTTTATTGCTGAGGGCATTAAGTCAGTGAATGATATTATTGAGGCTTTGAAGGAAGCTGCAACAACAGCTCATGTTGGTGAAACAGAATAAAGTGAAGATGAAGAATATGATGAGGAGGAAAATGAAGATCTAGTGGAGTGTGAGTGAATATCATATGATGATGAAGAACTTTAAGATGCAAAAGATGAAGAATTTTTTGACAAACAAAAAGAAATCAAAAGAGCAAAGGCCAAAGGTCC